TAAAAATAAAAAATTTCTATTTATATAAAATAAAAGTTCTAACAAAATAAGAACTACTTAAAATAATATTACTTTAAATACATATAAACCAGTTTTGGTAAAGTTTAGTTTTTACTTTTACATTTTTATATTTTATTTTTATTTCTAAAATTGGAATAAATAAAAATTTAGGTCGTTAAAAAGCTTCTTTATATTTGAATAAATGGAAATTTGATAAAACTAAAGTTTATAGACGAATTGAAGTTAGCTTGAAACTTCAATAAATTAAATTTAAAGTTAATTGAATTTATAAATATAGGTATAAAGCATTAAGAATTATACACTAAGAAAAATGAGTTTGTTGTTAGATGGATATCCAATTTTTAACTACAGTAGTTGCTATAGCAAACTATTTAAGCTATAATAGCTCATTTTTAGCTGCATTAACTAACAATAATTGCTGTCTATAAAATAGGAAATTATTATATTTGTTTTAAATTTTCATGAATTAAATAATTGAGATGAAATTAAAATTGTAGTCAAAATTTTTTTTCACCAAATGAAATTGCAATTAATTATTATTTGGAAATATTTAATTTTTAATTGATTGAAATTCTACATAACAAAAATTTTTATTGATTAAAATTCATAATAATTATATTTTTTATGATCTATATTTATGATCGATATCATCACCTTTACTATTAAGTGCTGCCGAGTGATAATTTCAAAATAATATTAAATTATATTTTTTATTATTTAAAATTTGGAATATTTGAATTTCTAAATTAATTAAATTTTTATTTGATTCAAAAATAAAAAAAGAGATATTAATAAAAAAAATTGATGAAATAGGTGACAAAATTATTAAAAAAGTGAAAATTTAATACATGGCAGTTTAAGTTTCCTGTTTAAAATTAAAAGATGCATGTAGTACAATACACACTTAAAGTAAACAACACATTGACATTAATACTTTAATATTTATCTAATTCAAGACTTGATTAGGTTTTAGATTTTAAAAACAAATAACTTACATTTTTCATCAGGTTATGGTTATGGTTTTTGTCTATGTTTTCTAATATTTACTTATAAAAAATTTGTCTCACTGCAATTAAATAAAAAGGATAAATTGTTAAAGGAAGAATATTTAAGCTTTAATTGAATATTTGATCTTTACTGTAATAATGTATATATCCTGATGGAAAGTATTAAAAAATCGGCTACATTTAACTGTAAATATTGAAAAGTATATAATCATTTGTATATCTTACCTGATTGTCACTAACCGCATGAAAACAATAGCAGCGTAATACAGGAATATACGTTGAAGCTGATTTCTAATTTTATATATTCCTAAATGATACTCGGGAATGATAAACAAATCCGCACTACGGTAACGATGTATACACATGTATAGAACAAATAGTGTAACGAAGTCTCTAATTGTAAGAATTTTTTATGACAATATTGTCTTCAATGCATATATGTCAGAAATGCATATATATGAATTTCTGATTCTGCATTTCACATATAAGCAAATGGTTTCCTTTAAAATCACAAACACGATTTGTAAAATATAATAATAAACACAATAACCTTTACGAATATATTGCGATGGCGTCAATATTATTTTTCAAGTCTTCATGTTTGTAAAATTTTGTAAAATTTTATTCCTAACCTAACCTACAACAAAACAAATGAAATTGAGTTCCATAAAATTTCCAACTGTTGCGCCCTGCCAAAAATCTCTTTGGCCAGGGTTCGGAACAGCAGTCAGTAATCTGCAGTATTTTACAGAAATGTTAATTTTTTGATGGGTTTAAACTACATTTAATTTAGAATACAATCTAATTTACATCAAAATATTCAGGATTTATTTATTGAAGGTTTATTTACCCTACAATAAATATAATGAGAAATAATTTCATCAGGAAATTCTGGATTAATATATATTTTTATTTATTGTGAAAAAAGGGAGACATGTATCCTACTGGATACTTGTGCTCCTTAATTTTTTAAGTATTTTTTTAAATTTAATTCATAATATATGTGAGAATTGTTATTTAACCTGAAGAGGACGACAACGTTGTCGTCGAAACGTCGTAAAGACAAAAACTTTTTATGTGAAATAAAAATATATATTAATCCAGAATTTCCTGATGAAATTATTTTAATATTATACCACTGGATGCACGTGCTTTTCTATCATAATGAGAAACTCATGTAAGAATGAGCATTGGCGTAAACAGGCGTAAAAATTTGAATATAATTTCAGATAATTTACGCTTAACTTTCGAACTTTGGTGTTGACGCACGTTTTTCCATTGAGCATGTGCCGGCCGGTTCCTTAGAACACATGTTTCCGATAATAATATCACAATTTATGTAGTTATGTATTTTTTTTAATATAAAAGTTTGTGTGGAAAGAATTACAAAAAAAGGCACTTAGTGATGTTTCGTGTTTTGTTTACGCGATCGTTTTTTTTCGAAGAAAAGAGCAGCGTATCACCAAGGTAATACACGTCTATTTATTATTTTATAGTGTTTAGCAGATTAAATATAAATCTATTATTTTCCGTCAATTTGTGTTTTTTTTGGAGCCAATTGTGAGTCTTGAATTACTAAAAACAAAACATGGATAGGTAAGATAAAATATAATTTGTATTGATAAAAATAAAAAACGTAATATTATATACGTATATACCTCCCGTATTACAGTTTTAATATAGTCTTATTATTATGTAGATACATACAAACTTTTCGGGTTATATTTATTTCTTTTTTTAATAATTAATAAATTAGAGCAATATGTGTTTTAGATAAAATTGTACTTTTTATTGCATTCTAAATTCGAATATTTTTATGGATATGATTTCACAATTGATGTAACTTTTTAAAATACTTTTTTAACTTCACCCTTCCTCTCAAACAGACAGGGAAACAAAATTTTATTATTTAATGTAATAATTTTTTTAGAAATTTTCTGGACGAGAAACCATTTGCGGTTGTTGAGTTTTCTGTTGGTTTGCAAGTGATTAGATCCCAATGGGGTATCTTTAATGAAGACTGCAAAATGATCGCAAGTTACTTCCCTCCAGACATAGACAACAAAAGTTATTCGCAATTACTAAAAAATGGTGCCACAGTCGACAAAACTACGTGGTGCAATGATGAAGGAGAACCATGGAAGGTGGAGAGATTTTGCTGCTTTGCATGTGAGAATTTGTTCATCTTTTTTTTGATTATTTAAATTATTCATTTTTATATATAATTTTGTACTTTAAACTGAACCTTTCATAAATTAAATTAAATTAAATTAAATTAAATACTAATTTAAAAAAATATTAATTAAATAGAGTTTATAATGTAATAAATTAATAATGAAAAATTATAGAACTAGTATAAGGTTTGGCCATCCTTAAAGATATTAAAAACCTTACATTTATTTTTCACTTTGAAAGTATATAATCAACAAAGATTTTTTTTAAAAAAATGGTTAAATTATAATGCAGAAAAATTTAATTGTGAAACAATATATGCAATGTAAAAAGTTGTTTTGGTAAAATTCATCCAAATTACAAAAAAATTATTGTACTAAATTCCTCATTTTTAAATGACTTGAAATAAATTTTTTGACTACATTATCCAAAGAAGGAAATCTTTAGTAAAACAAAAACTTTCTTTAAATATAATTTTATTTTTATAATTAAAGAGCACAAACCAATTTATTTAAAAAAAAATTATGTTTCTTTATTTTCTCTTAGTCAACAATTCAAATTATATATTTAAAAAATTTTAACTATGTAATGTATTAAAGAAAAAAATATAAAATTAAATAATTTTGTTAGAGTGATGTTTTTATTAAGTTAGATTTGCCTAGCAATTGTTAAATTATAATTTTTTTAGATTTGCCTAATAATTCTTAAATTACGATTTTTTAAAAAAATGAAATAATAATTTTTTTATTTAAATAGGATTATTTTGATTGTTAGAAAGTAGATATGAGATTTTTATTACCCTTTCCTCTCTACTTTGACATTACGTAATTAATTGATGATCATTTGAATGTAGTTTTCAAGTAATTAATTTTTTAAATCTTTAATAGGAATTTTTATGAATTTAAAATGCTAAAATTATATATTGCAAATGACAGACGATAATTTAATTTTACATGATTTTTAATGTAAAAATATTTTAAATATTTAATTTTTGAAGTGCAATTAATTTATAAAATATACATAAATACATAAATACCGTAAAACAGGGTTATTTCGTTCATTGTGAGTAAATTCGCTCACACATTTTTATGCTTCATTTTAGCTTTAAACTGAAGTTTGATACCTTTATTACCAGGTACAAATGTTAAGCTTGTTATTAGAAATACCAAATTTTAGTTTAAATGTAATCTAATGAAAGAAAATGGGTGAGCGAATTTATCCGTACTAAGGGAAGTAACCCCGTTTTAAGGTAATTTAAAAAAAAATTATTTAGATATTTAAAAAATTTATAGAAAGTTACAATTTTCTAATCTTATAAAGAATCAAGGTTTAAAAGAATTAAGAATTATGGATAATCATAAAAAAATTATTTAGTAAAAATTTGTAAAAAATATTTTTTTTTTAAATCTACTTTTTGCATTGAAAATCTTCTCTCTAAATTTAAATAAGTTAAAAATAACTAATTATTAGTAAAATCGTAGCTCATTTTTTGCTTTGGCAATTATTAAAAAGTAACTAATAATTAGTTAAAAACAACTAAAAAAATAGTAATTTTTTTACTACTTGAATTAGTAAATAGAAAATTTTTACTAAAATTTTAGTTATTTTTACATAACCTAAAAATTAATTTAACTAATAAGTAATTAGTTATTTTTAACTAAATTATTAGTAAAACATTACTAATTGAATTAGTGACTCACTTTTTGCTATTGAATTAGTTGTTTTTAAGTAATTCAAATTTGGAGAGTTGAACAGGACCTTAAATTTTTTTTCAAACGAACAGAACACTAAATAAAGAGGGCCAGGTAAAGTTGTCAACAAGAAAAAGACTTATTTTACAGAAATTTATTAGAGTAAATATATAATAATTTGCAATTAATATAAAATGTATGTCTGCAGCATCTATTGATGAAGCCGATTCCAGGATTGATTTCTTCTTAAAGCTATCGGAAGTGGAAAGCGATGAAACTGCTAACCTGGAAAAACTAAAGAAAAGTAGACATTCCAGAAACCTTTCTCAGAAAAATCGTGAAGAATATCACAAAAGTAAGGAACAGACTCCAACTACCGAATCATATAAAAGGCCATCTTTTAAGAAAAATGGAAACTCTGAACCGAAGGAAATTGGTAAACCAGAGGATAATAAGCATTCGTCGAGTAAACTACAAAATAGTGATTTCCAAAATACTGGAATCAGTTCTTTAATGGTTTCAAACGATGTTAATACTGAAAGCGATTTGCAAATTGCACCACCGGAAAAAAATGGTAATTTTATATCATATACAATTTTCTCATGTTTTAGAATTTTTTGAATTTGTTGTAAAAATCTTGTGGAAAAGAAATTCAGTTTATGTAAAGTATTCCCTCATAATTTTCTGAATTTTCTTATAATTCTTGCTGTTTTTGTTTCTTTTCAAATTCTTTTAAATTAAAAATTCACGAATTTAAAGTTATTTAAATTATTGATCTTTTTCCTAAATTCTATTATTTTCTTTACTTGTTCATTTAAAAAAAATATTGGATCTAAAGCATTTCCTTATAAAAACGTAACAATCAATGAGTATTATATTTTGCTCTTATAAATTTATAAATTATGCCAAAGCAAAAAAATGAAAATAAAACAAAACCTTGAATTATAATTTAATTATATTTTTACATTTTATGTAAATCATAATTTAGCATAGACAGTTAAAATTAAAATTAATGCAGAAATATTTAATTGTAAAACAATAAATGCAATGTAAAAAGTTATTTCGGTAAATTTTATTCAAATTATACAAAAAAATTATTGTACTAAATTTCTAATTTTTAAATGATTTGAAATAAATAAATAATAATATTATAATAATAGTAATAATAATAAATAAATAATAAAATAAATTTTTTGACTACATTATCCAAACAATGAAATCTTAAGTTAAAAAAAAAATTTCTTTGAATATAATATTTTTTAAATATATAAAGACCACAAACAAATTTATTTTTAAACAAAAAATATAATGTTTCTTTATTTTATGTAAAACAAAAATTCAAATTTTATATTTAAAAAATCCTAACTATTTAATGTATAAAAGAAAAAAATATAAAATTAAGAAGCTTCTTAGAGTTCTTGTTATCAAATTATATTTGTCTAATAATTTTTAAATTAAGATTTTTTTTTAAATATTTAACAAATTATTTTATAAAAATTTATTAAAATAATAACGTACACTACCGTCCGAAATTGTGCGAACGCTTACACCGCAAGTCATTGAAAAACATACTCGCGTGAAAATAAAGATAACTCTGAGAGAAATTAACGTAGAGACTTTTCCCTTATAGCGTTGAAAAGCTTATTAAATTTCGAAAAAAATGATTCCTATTTGAATGAGATTGCTTAAATAGGTTTAAATATATCATGTTACAAAGTTGAAAAAATAATTGTAATTTTTTGCTTATTTCCTACCTTGACTTTAACCTCTTGCATGGTCCAGGAAAATCGACGAAAAAAATTGTCCTTTAACATAATTATTCCTTGAAATCTAAGCTTTCCATTGATTCCAAGAACAATAAAAAATGTTGACGGGTTTTCCAGTAATTGAAAAAAAGGACGAGCGTGCACGAAAAAAAATTCGACCGTCAATCGCTCAATTTTCCCGTCTCACTGCCTCTTTCGTTCGTGCGCCAGGGCCGAAACAGAGGATTTTGATTAGGCGCTTTCCGGGCACCATTAATTTAATTATTTTTGCCTTTTTGTGAATATAAATTATTTGTATAACGCGAAAGATATCATAATTGTGTTATAAGTTAATTATACAGTTATTAAAATTAAATAAATGTAATAAAACTTATATATTTCATGATTAAAAAATTCAATTTGAAAAACTTATACAATGTTCTTGGAAATTGAATTTTATGTTTTCAAATTATTTTTTTTACAGTCAACAATTGAACATATAAATTTATTTTTAAATAGTACATTATGTTAACTTAACATCACCGGAATATTAGATTGCATAGTTATGATATTACGCTATAATATGTCGGCTAAAAATGACATTTCTATAATATTCTGGTTATATTTATTTTGAAGATTTGGTAAAAATTAAAATATATTTATAATCATTATAAAATTTATTATTAAGAATCAAAAACCTCGTTGGTCAAATTGAATTTTTTAATAATGAAATATATAAGTTTTATTACATTTATTTAATTTTAATAACTGTATAATTAACTTATAACACAAATTATGATATCTTTCGCGTTATACAAATAATTTATGTTCACAAAAAGGCAAAAATAATGAAATTAATGGTGCCCGGAAAGCGCCTAATCAAAATCCTGTTTCGGCCCTGGCGCACGAACGAAAGAGGCAGCGAGACGGGAAAATCGAGCGATTGACGGTCGAATTTTTTTTCGTGCACGCTCGTCCTTTCTTTCAATTACTGGCAAACCCGTCAACATTTTTTATTATTCTTGGAATCAATGGAAAGCTTAGATTTCAAGGAATAATTATGTTAAAGGACAATTTTTTTCGTCGATTTTCCTGGACCATGCAAGAGGTTAAAGTCAAGGTAGGAAATAAGCAAAAAATTACAATTATTTTTTCAACTTTGTAACATGATATATTTAAACCTATTTAAGCAATCTCATTCAAATAGGAACCTTTTTTTTCGAAATTTAATAAGCTTTCCAACGCTATAAGGAAAAAGTCTCTACGTTAATTTCTCTCAGAGTTATCTTTATTTTCACGCGAGTATGTTTTTCAATGACTCGCGGTGTAAGCGTTCGCACAATTTCGGACGGTAGTGTATTTAAAAAATTTTTTAAAAAAATTACAAATTTTAAAAAGACCTTTTATTTTTTTTCGAAAGAACTGAACACTGAATAAAGAGGGCCGGTTTAAGTTGCCAACCAAAAATAGATTAATTTTTTTATCAGTGTAACATGATAAATTACGATTAATATGAAATGTATCTTTGCAGCATCTATTGATGAAACCAATTCTAACATGGAATTCTTGATAAAGCTCCCGGAAGTGGAAAACGCTGCAACTACTAGTATGGGGAAACTGAAAAAAAGTACCCACGAGAGAAACCTTTCTAAGAAGAATCGTGAAGATCATCAAAGTAAGGAACATACTTCAACTACTAAATCATGCAAAAGGCCACCTTTAAAGAGAATTGGGAACAATGAGGACAATACTGATGAACCTTTGACGAAAAAATTAAGAAATATTGATTCCCAAATGCCTGGAACTGGTTCTTCAATGCTTGTAAACGATGCTAATGCTGAAAGCGATTTGCAAATTGCTCCACCGGAAACAGATGGTAATTGTACATTATCTTCAATTTTTTATAATTAAAAATTTTTTTTATTAGCTGTAAAAACCATGTGGATACAGAATTCAGTTTATGTATAGTATTCTCTGATAATTTTCTGAATTTTCTTATAGTTTATCCTATCTTTGTTTCTTTTCGAATTCTCTAAAAATTCCTGAATTGAGATTTTTTTCAATTATTGATTATAGAGAACGCTTAATTTTGTTAAAAATAAATGATAAATAATATTGTATTCATAAAAAATTTATGTACTGAAACATTTTTACCTGAAAAGGTAAAGTAACATTTAAGTTAAGATTAATAAAAATATTCTTTCAGAAAATGCTGTTGTTACCAATTCCACAGATAAGACTGTTTCAATGAGTAAGTTTCAAGTCTTTTGAAAGTTTTATCTTTACTGAATAATTTATAGGATAATTGAAAAATTTACTGGAATTCATTGTCATTAATAATTTTTTTATTCGAACAATAAATTGTTTGAATTACATTTAAAATTATTATAAGAAACTTTAAAATACAAAAAATTAATTTGCTTTAAAAAACTTTTCAACTTTCAAATATAAACTTTGAACAAAAACTGTCATGAGATGAGACAACTGACCCAATTGAAAGTACTTTATTTATTATTATTAAACAGACACAATTCAAATTTTCACTTTTTACAGGTAGTAAACAAGTTTCTTTGATTTTAAGAAAGTTAACAAAAATAGAAATGGCAATGGATAATGGGAACCAGAGCTCAAATATGGAAAATAGATCGATGTCTTCATTCTTAAATCCGGATGCCGACTTAAAACTTTTTCCAGCCAAAAATAAGGCTGGAGTACTCAGTATAAGTGATAGATTACTCAACGATAAGAGATTCTTGTCTAAAGTGGTAAATAAATATAACGATCACAACCTTATTTTATTCAGCTTTTTAAAATTTTATCATCTATTTTTCTCATTTCATTAAATTGTCTCTATTTCACCTATTTTTTCAGTCATTTCATTTTTCATCTATTTCACATTTTTAAAAACTGTTAAATTAAAAAAAAACTTAAAACGATTAAAAAATTGCTTTTTTCAATATTTACCAATCTTAATTTTAATTGGAATTTTAATATAATACGTTCTAACTTAAATTTCTTAAAAATAATTATATGAATTATTCTTCTTGAACAATTGTTTGTTACTTAATATTAACTTGTAATATTTAATAAAAATAATTAATTAATTAATTAATTTAATAAAAAATGAAAAAACTAATATTCTACAACTTTTTTAATATAAAAAGTAATTTGTTACTTCACATTTTTTTGTATATTATAATAAATTATTTATTGTTAGGTTGCTGCTTTAATTGATTTGGGGCCGAGTCACAATAACAGCACAACCCTTATCAACATGATGAACCATGTTCTAACATTCAAAGCTGGCCAGGAATTTACATTTAAAGGCAAGGGTGGAAAGAAACAAGCATTTAAACCATTAACATTGTTTGCCGTTATCTATTGTAAGTGATATCTATTGCTTTTTATATATAAAAAATATAATTTTAAAGGTAAAATATATATTTTACCTTTTATAGTATTTAATACAAATTGTTCAAATTATTATTTAAGCATTATGATATTTTTGTACGTGTTAATATTTCTCAATTGTTTGTAATTCTTTGTTATTACTATCTAATTGTTGCATTAAAATCTTTCAATTCTTGAAAAAAAATTAATTTCAAAATAGTTAGCGTTAAATATTATGCTTTTATAAGTAATTGGATTAATAATATCTTCAAATTTAATATTACTACATTTTTAGTATTTGTATTTTAATTTATTAATTATCAATTATTTAAAGAAATACATACATGTAAAAAAATTTTATTCAATATTAATGTTTCAAAAAAATTCTATATATTTTAATACAAATAAGTTTTCATTTGAGAAAATTAGTTTTTGTTTTAATATTTAAATCAAAAGATTTTAAACTTTTTGTTTAATATTTACACAGGTAAAGAAATTTTTTAGTTTCAGAAATTTTCATTCAATTTTCATTCATTCAATTCATTCAAAATTTAACTATTTATTTACATGTTATTTCTTATTTTACTTGCCCTTAAAAATATTTAGAAAACCCTGTAGATTTCAAGTTAACGTTTAAATTTTACTACATATTTAATATTTACATGTACAATTTTTTGCCAGATGCAATGAAAAAATCCTCTAGAGGTGAAATTACCCAGAATACAGTAAACACCGACATGTCCCATTGGTTGGAACAATGTAAGAATAGAGAAAACCGTCGTCAGTAAGTATAAAAAATAGAAAAGTATAAATGTATTATAAAAATTCGTCAATCTTTCTTGGATTTCGTTAACGTTTTCTCTGATAAAATTTTATAAATTTTTATAATTTTTCATGATTTTTAAAAATCTGACTTTAAAATTTTTTCCAAACAAAATTCCATGCTTGACGCTCACTCATTTACAGAGGTTTAAAAAATTCTAATCCTCTTCCCAGTAGTTACAGGAACATGTTTTTTAGATAGAAGTTATCCTTAAAACATCTTTTAAACAGACATAAACGTCCAAAAGACGTATTTAAGACGACCTATAATCCCCGTGCTCAATGAGTTGAGTTCTCTCAGAAAGAACAAATTACGCTTTCATGGTATTTTTGTTCAAAAATAATACAATTAATTATATTATTAAAAACTTTACTAACCATTCGATAGGATTTAACAATTTTCAATTGGATCACTAAAGAAAAATTCAAAAAAATTTCAAATAACCGAAATATTAAATAAAATAAGACTTTCTCATTATGATGAGAATGTAATAAGGTGTTACGGAGTGGAGTTTTAATGCCAGATTTCATTTAATATTTCAGTTATTTAACCTTTTTTTTGAATTTCCCTTTAGTGATCTTATTGAAAATAGTTAAACCTTATCGCATGGCTGATAGAATTTTAATAATTTAAATTAATTTTACTATTAATGAACAAAAACACCGCCTGACATCGTGCACAAGTAATTTGTTCTTTTTGAGAGAATCACCCATAACTATCTACAAAATTTTATTTTCGAAATTCTTTTAATAACAAATCCCTTATTTAATACTTTTCTTAACCCCTGACTTTTTCTTTACCACAAAATTCAGACTTCTTTAATTTCAAGATTAACTGTTAGGTGCGGTCACTCAGTGGCCAAAAGAAATTACAACTAATTAAAATATCAAAAAAGATTATACAAAATAGTTATAAAAATCTAGAAAATGCTTTTCAAAAATTGTGAATATTAAAATTATTGTAAAAGAATTATAGACTTGAATATATATATAAATTATGATAGTGAATTTAATTTCGAAAATTTAGGATCTGTATATAAAAAATAATTTTTAGCACGATTTTTTTTTCATTTTTCAACGTAAAACATTGACTTTAATTTTGTAACTGTTACCACTTAATACAACAATATCCAATGCACATTTTTTACATTATACAATTAAGTAACATATTTTTTCTCGTTTTTAGGGTTCAACTACAAAAGCAACGTTTAGCTCAAGAGGAGGCTAACCTCGACATATCAGAGGAAGATGACGAATAGAAGATGGCTATTCCTTTATTTCATGGCAATTCTATTTCAGTTTTCGCAAATGCAATTATTATTCGGAAACAATTTTTTTGATTGATCAAATATGTGCAATCAGAAATTATGCAAACGCTATAATCGTCTTATCAACTTTAAATTATTTTCGTTTGAATTAATTATTAATATTATGTTCTTTTCTTTAGCTTTACATCTGCGCATTATAAATCATTATATAATTTTTATTATTATTCGCTTATGTTTGATTTTTGTTGTCCAATTATCAATAAATGACTATGAAAAATAAAACTTTGTTTAAAAATGTCTATTTTTTCATTTTTCATTTCACATAAATTCCACTCTTCTTATAAAAACTACATACAAATCATACCATTTTGTTTAAATAACAGTAAATGATTTTACTTTTTAACAAAATTAATTAAAAATTTTTTTAAATTCGTTAAAAATTTAAAAATTAATTGAAATTGATAATTTAAAATTAATTAGAAAATCAATTAGAAAATAAAACAAATTAAAAATATTCTTAATGACAAAAGATTTAAAAATATATAAAAAATTTAATTTAATTAGTTTAACAAAAAAAAAAAAAGTTTATTAAAAAAAGTAACGGCAATTTATATTAAAAATTAATATGATAAATCAAACAACTATTACAAAATATATAAATATTATTAATCTTTTTAAGAGATAATTAATCTACAATTTTAATTTGAAAAAATAGTACAGTTTTTGTAAAAACTGTAAAAAGAAGTCTTTTTCTATTTTAAATAAATTTCATTAAATATAACAACAGGTGATATTGATTAATTAATAAATATGCTAGAAGACACGCTAATTAAAAACATTTTTAAAAAGCCCGCCGTTTTTCAACTAATAAAATCAGTTTAGGTTTAAGACCAAGATTTTTTTCCCCTAACCGACAAGCTAAACAGCTTGTCGGTTAGGGTCTTTGGTTAGCGTCTGTAGAACCCGGGTTCCATTCCCAGTCCCTTCAAATATGTTTCGAAAAATTTTCCGTTAAATTTACAAGTGAAAATAAGCAGGGCATGATTAATAAAATCGAAAGTCAGGTGGATTTTCAAATATACAAAAAAATTAATTTTTTTTAAATTACTAAGTATTTTTAAAAAATTGCAGCAACCTTTCAACAAGCTTGCCGCAATTTTCCTGCAACATTTCGTAGGAAACTTGCTTCAATCTTTCACGACAAGCTTGCTGAAATCATTCGCAGTAAGTTTGTAGTAGTCTTGTAGCAATCTTTCATGATAAGATTGCAGAAAACTTTCATGGCAAGCTTACAACAACCTTTCACGGAAAGCTTGCCATGGGTGGGACATTTTGCTAGTTAAGGCAAGCTTGGCAAGCTTGCACGGTAAGCTTTCTACAAGCTTGCTGCAAGTTTCCGTGCTATCTGGGTTGGTGATGAAAGTTGTATAAGTTGAGTTGAGGCAAATACATAATTTTTACTTTCAATAGGTATAATTCTTAAGAGTGGTGATTGAACGTCACCGGTAATTCGAGGTTCACAAATGTCACAATATACAAACATTTTCTCAGGTAGTCCTCTTGCTATACTGGCAGGTTGATTGTCGAAATACCCATTGTTTACAGGTATTAATTGTTCAGGAGCAAATCCAAGAATTTTTGAGACTTTCTCGCTAATTGCTAAAAAATGTTGTCCCGACATTTCACAATTTTCGTTACGTACTTTTTGAACTCTAAAATACGAATCTTCTTTATCTTTAAAAGTTAAACTGACATGATTACTAATTATTAGCGTTTGATTAATTGTTGTAATTAAATCTTGAACTTTTTTGTAAATTCCTGGACGTATAAAAGCAACATTCTCAGGTTTTAACCACCAAACGGTGGATGCTTGCTTTGTTTTATTAAATTCAATTTCATCAATTGAATTTGTCATCACCTCAGTTGAATCTTTATTATCATAGTCGTAATCATAGTTGTCACTATTGTTATCATCTTTATTACGTGAAGCATAAAAGTATTTCATAGGCATTGGATATTTTTCAAGTAACTGTTTTCCATCATCAATATAGTAATCTTCTTTGCTGCGTTTTCTTCCATCTGTATCATTATTTTGTATAATTGACATTAAAGCAATACGATTTTCAAATTTATTAGACTTATAATTTGTTATGTGTAAAAATGTGCAAGGAAACTGTATTTCTGTTAATGCAATGGCCCAACGATCATGTAAACGAATTTCATATGGTAGTTGAGTGGTAAAGTAAGTTGTAGTATTCTTTGGAAAATATTTCATACTACTGTTACTTGGTAACACTAAATAAAATTGATCGGAATCCATTATAAATTTTTTAAATCAGACTCTGGAATCCAAGAATTAAATTTATTAGGATAACCTTTCCACTTGACAAGTACTTGCTTGTTTCTATCTGTACCTTTTCTACAAATTACTTTTTCCACAATAAACTCAGTATCTGTCAGAAGATTTTCTTTTTTTACAATTGATAATTCTCGTTCATAAAACAATCCCTCTATAAGCTCATTTGATAAATCTTTTAATTCGTAAACAACTGGTATTTGAAGTCGTTCATGAAAAACTTCAGTCCATCCAGCTTCATAACCTTTCGCAAAAGATCCTCTCTCTCTCTACTGATACGTACATAATCACCTTCCTTATATTTAGCTTACTTTCTACCATGTAATACTTTTTTATTATATTTTTCTGAAATATTTAAACGTGCTGTTTGCGCATTTTCTAAAGTTATCGATGAAGGTCTTATTTTCGTTACAGAATGTCGAGCATTATTATAAGCGTGTATAATTTGTTGTAAAACATTAATGTAACGATGTGTATTGCGATACGTAAAATACCGCCACATACGTTTCTTAAGAGTTCTATTAAATCGTTCAACAACTGCGGCTTTTGTGTTTGGATCTCTCACTGCGCGAAATCGTATACCTCGTTTTACTAACAATTGTCGAAATTCACGAGCTAAAAACTCTTTTCCTCTGTCACTTTGAACACAAACAGGTTCTCTTTTTTTGTAACTATTGTCATCATTTTTATTTTCTAGAATACGATTAAAAGCATTCTTTACTACTTCGCCGCTTATATTCTTTAGAGGTTCTACCCATGCATACTTACTTAATACATCAATCACTACTAAAAGATATACATAACCATCATTGTAATCTTTTAAATTCTTTAAATCAACAAGATCAATTTTCCAGAGATCTTCGATATTAGTAACATTATAAAAAGCACGTTGAAATTTACGTCGTGTAGGAATATGTAAGTTATATGTATCTTGTCCTTGCAACCAATCAACTACTTTTTCACGCGAAAGTTTTCCACGTGTAGCTTTTACAAGTTTTTCAATTCCTGAGAAAGAGACTTCATGTGCTGGATTAAAATATATTTCTTCTAGTAGATTCATATTAATATTTTATTTATATATTTATTTTAAAAACAGAGACAACCATTTAGTATTATTATTACTTTCCTCTCTCTTTGTATTATGAGTATCCTGTTTTGACCTGTCTATATAATTCGTACTTCTACTTCGATGTTTGTGTTCACTCTCGCTACTATTACTTTCGTCATCTGTCATTAAATCTATCAAAGATTTTTTCTCATTGTCTGGTTTATTTTTTTAAATTGAAGATGATGTAATATTTATATTATTTTTTTAATATTCTGAACTTGGTACAATTTCACGTGATATCCTAATATCACGAAGAAAACAAGCAAACTGACCTCGTCCTGATGGGTTTACAGTTTTTCTATATCTATATCACTACTAGAATCTTCTGAATGTGTCCTCTTTTTTGAATCAACGATAGTTATAATTGATTCTTGTTGGTCTTGAACATTTTGCACTTGTGAATAATTTTAATTTGTACCTAACAAATTTAAGGGTTGTTTAATAAATAATATAAAAGGGGAATCATATTTTCTTATTATTTCTTTGCTTCTACCAACTAGAATTTTGAAATTAAGAAAAATTTTACATCCTCTTGTGTCTTGGCAGGTACCTTAATAACTAAGAAAGGATAACGATCTTTCTTTCTATCTAAATTAAAACTAAATACACTACTAAAAAGTATTTTATCTAATAGATTTAGATACAATTAAGTTATTGATTTAATTTGGGTTTGTAACATTTAATCTTTAGATTTTCAACGTAAAAAAATTATTAATAAACTCAGTTTCATTTAAGGGGTTAGTACCACATCTCAGTGACTTTTCTTAAATATTGTTTTTTATTACAAAACTTATTTTATTTACTTTAAACTTTTTATACCTGAAAAAGGGGTTTTAAACTATTAAAAAAAAATTATTCCTTATTTATTATGGATTATCTTGCTGTCATGGCCGCCTGAAAATACCCCTACTTGTGATTGGCGGACACAATATCTCCAATTCCCGTCATCGAAAAATAAAATTTTTGATTTTTTCTCGAAAAGTAAGTTCGTCGCTATCGTCGAAACTACAATAAACTATTTTCGATGAAAAAAAACAAAATGGTGGACTTTTTTCATTTTTGACCTTGTTTTTTCAATTTAAATTGTTTAAAAAATGGTTCAATATTAATGAAAAACTATGATTATAGTGTCGACGATAGCGGTATATGTGTACAATAAGCCATAACAATTTAAGCTTAATCGGTGCAACAGTTTTTTTATAACGTCCACCAGGTCAAAAACGTTGTTTTAAAAAAAGCAAATTTACGAAAACATGTTTTTTCAAAAAATTCAAATTTTGACACTTTTTTGAAAATCAAACTTTTTTTCTTAATTTCGGTCCTTTTTATTTATTTATTTAAAGCTAAAAACGTGTATTTTCACTACAGGAAATATTAAGATGTCCTTTTTTGTTATTTTCGAGATATTAATTAATGTTAATAAAAAATGAAATATTTTACAAATAAATAAAGTAATTTCAATCCTAAAGGTACTAATTGAAAGCTGACGTAATTCCGCATCTAACGAGCCCTATATGGACTATTTTAGATTAGAGGATTTTTTATAAACAATTGCCATGTTAGCCAATTGATTATTAACCCAAAGCCCCAAATGCACTGAAATTTTAGTCTAACTTCAAGGAATGATATTTTACAGAAAAAAATCCCAATTTTTCGAGAAAAGAATTTAAAAAATCAAAATGGTGGTTTCAATATGCCAACCAAAAAAAATTTAAAGTCTACGAATTCAGATAAAAATGCTTACTCGGGGGTTTTCGGGGTCGCAGATTAAAAATTTGATGTTAAAATTTCAAAATTTAAAATGTCAAATCCAATATGAAAACCAAAAATTTTTAAAATCGATAAATTTCGTTAAATGCATTTAAAATATCATCTTTAGCCACCTAGTCCTAAGGGGCCATCCATAAATTACGTTGCAATATTTTTCACCATTTTCGACTCCCCCCACCCCCATGTTGCACATTTTGCATACATTAGCGCCATTTTTTCTATTGAATGTTGCAAATTCTTGACCCCCCCACCCCTTCAAGCGCAACGTAATTTATGGATGGCTCCTAATTGGTGTTGCCCAATTCTCACCACGGGCAGATAGATAGTTTTTGAGAATCATTTTTAAAATTTTTTTGTTTTGGAATATTTTAAAAAAAAATTTTTTTGAAATATTTTATAGATTTTTTGTTTCTATTTAATTTCTGATTTTATAATTTTATTTACTTTTATATATTATTTATTTATTTATTTACATATATATACGGGCAATGCACTTTCGTACAAGAGTACTAAAGTATAAAAAAAGAACATAAGAAAAATGACAGTGCGAAACAATGTTTTGTTATTACTCAAACAGTATCAAAAATTTCAGAGCGTAGCTTACATACAAATTTACTTAGAGAAATACCATAAAAATCAAGGTTGTTATGGTACTCATTAGCTTCTCTTGTTATCCTATTTATAACAGAATTTATTACATAGTTTGTTCTTTGAAAAGACTGTCTGAACAAAGTTGGATTTCTGGTTGGTCTAAAAGGAACAGCAAAATTTAGCAAAGATAAGAGTGGAGGGCAGTTAATAATGCCGTTAATAATTTTAAACATAATAAGTAAATCAGTAAATAAGAATCTGTTTCTTAATAGAGGAATACCCAGAATCCTTCTCAGCTCAGTATAGGCATGACTATGTAAATCTATCAAATGGTATCCCCGTCTGCTTAGCAACAAAACGCATAAATTTATTTTGCACCCGTTCCAGTGCCATCAATAAGTATTCTTGGTAAGGTGACCAAATCAATGAAGCAAATTCAAGTATTGGTCGAACTAATGAAAAATATAAGACCTTTAACGCTATTATATTCTTAAACCGCGATGCATTTCTAGTGACAAAGCCCAACACTCTAGTCGCGTTATTGACAACATTTAAAATATGTTTTCCAAAATCCAGTTCTGAGTCTAGTGTAACTCCCAGGTCACGCACCACTGATACTCTAGAGAGAACATCAATACCAATATTGTATTGATACTCTTTAATTAGCTGAAGTTTACTGAAAGAAATTATACTGCATTTTTTAATGTTAAGAAAAAGTTTATTATTTATTGACCATTTTGTTAATTGATTCAGATCTGATTGGAGATCAAGAGCATCTTGATCACATGTTATTGCTTTGTATAATTTAAGGTCATCAGCAAACAAGAGGAATAAACTATGTTTAAATATAGTGTTTGTGTCATTTATAAAAAGCAGAAAAAATAAAGGCCCAAGATTCGATCCCTGGGAACACCAGAAGTTGCTAGGAAAACAATTGAAAATTCTTGTATTGAAATACTTTTTTTTATTAATTAAATTTTTATTTTTTAAATGAAATTTTTAATTTATTAATAAATTTAAAAAAAAAATTTTTTATTTTATTTACTGTGTTTTATATTAATAAAAAACAAAGCATAATATATGAAAGTTAAGAAAATAATAAAATCAGGAATTGAAAAGAAACAAAAAATATTTCAAAAAAACAAAAAAATTTGTCGACTTTAAAAAATGTTTGGTTGCCAAATTGGATCTGCCATTTTGATTTTTCAAATTCTGACATCAAATTCGTAATCACCGATCCCGAAAACCTCCAAGTAAGCATTTTTAGCTAAATTCGTCCTTTTTTTAAATTTTTGGGTCGCTATATTGAATGTGCCATTTTGATTTTTCAAATTCTGACATCAAATTCGTAATCACCGATCCCGAAAACCTCCAAGTAAGCATTTTTAGCTAAATTCGTCCTTTTTTTAAATTTTTGGGTCGCTATATTGAATGTGCTATTTTGATTTTTAAAATTCTGACATCAACTTCGTAATCAGCGACCCTGAAAACCCCCTAGTAAAATTTTTAAATAAATTCATCGACTTTAAAAAATTTGGCACAATTAAATTATTTTTTATAATTTTTTGGAATTTTCGACGCCACTTTAAAAAAATAAAAGTCTGTAGAAGAAAGGGCATATTTTTTGTTTAAAGTTTTACAATCGAGTGCACGATTTATATATACTTGATAGCTGTCAGAAATATTGTTTTCATTTCGAAATATTTGTAAATTTATTAAAAAATCGCGTCATTTTGCAAATAAACATTATTTAACATTTTTAAGCCTTTTTTGATACCATTTATGGAAAGTGCATACTTAAATACGTTAGATGTAGGTCTCCCGAAAAATTAGGGTTTTTTTTGTTAAATATCATTCCTTGAAGTTAGACTAAAATTTCAGTGCATTTGGGGCTTAAGGAGAGATTACGGTGATTTTTTCAAAAACTCAAAACTATTTTTTTTCCATTTTTTGTTAGTATGACTATATAAGAGCACGGAAAAAATAGTCTGATGTATTTCATTGGTCTAGAACTGATATAAATTGAGTAGCAACATGCAACAACTCAACAAACGCGCGAACGCACGCGTTTATTTCTGTTGGGTAGCAGTAAACGGTTTCGAGGCACTCACTGCTACTTGACTGGCAATAGATTACTTGAAAATGATATTTTAGAAGGCAAAGAAGGATCTATGTATTTAGCCAGTATCGCCGATTGAGTAAGAATCACTTTTTTGCTTAATTTCTACTTAAAAAACTTTAAACGCGTTTTTCTCAAAACTGCATATTTTCAACTTTGTCACACTCTCATTTTAAAACTATTCAACAAATTATATTCAAATTTATACATTATGTTTTTTGCATATGTTGTTGTCAAAAAATGAAAAAAGTCTGTCAATCGGTTTTTTTTCAAAGAATATTTCTCATTCCAGTTTACACGAAAGCTAAAATAGTACAGATTAAGAAAAATTTTAGTTTTTTAATTTTAGATTAACTGTTTCAGAGAAAAAGTGTGATAAACTTTTAAAATGTACTGTTTTCGGTAGCCATTTTTTATTAGATTGTTAAAACAAAAAAGGAAACAAAAATTGTTTTCGCCTTTTTAAAATGTATATTTTATCATAAGAAAATTGTAACTAATAAATATTTTTTTTACTACAAAAAAAATCTTTGAAAAAACCTCAAAATCATCGTAATCTTCCCTTAAGGGGGGATCACCAGTTGTAACTTTCGAAAAATCGATTTTTTTTTGCATTTTCTTAAAGTATACATATTTAGAAATGTGTCTGTAAATTTTAAACTTGATCCGGTGAAAAATAAATGAGATATACAGAACACTGCAGCGGCGCGTCCCGTGGCTTCAGACAAGGTGGCCAGCCATACCTGACCCTAACGACAGATGGCCTTTTCCTATGATTTAGAAACGGCAACCACTGCGGAAGAGTTATTATATGGTCCAGGAATCGATGACTCTTTGTAAATTGGAAACAAAATTTCTTCTGAACAAAAAAAAGTAAGTTGAAACTTTGAATGCGTTTTTCTCAAAATGACATTTTCCAAGTCGGTGACCACGATTACTCGAATACCATGAAACCGATTTATTTAAAATTTAATGTGCTTCATTTACACATATAAGTCTAGTTCGTGATCGAAGGATTTTTTTTTATGCAAAACTTTTTTTTATATAGCTGAAAATCGACCGTATTTTTTTAACGAAAATTATACTTTTGACTTTGACAGGTCGCCATTTTGTCAAATTTTTTTTTTTTTTAAATCCTTCGATCACGAACTAGATAATCTTATAATAAATGTAAATCAATTTCATTTTTGTATTTCAGACGAAGTATACTTGCAGAATGCTGGTCACCGCAATTCGCCTTTTTTCTTAAGGCGCCACTTCAATGGCTCATATCTCTAAAAGTTTTTGTTAAAAAAATTTTTTTTTCTTTTAAATTACAGCTTTTAACATGTACTTTTAACTAATAAATAGTATTCTTTAAAAAGATTCATTGTTCTTTTGGAAAATATTCTTGTAAAAAGCATTATTTCTTGAGTTACAACTGGTGTTCCCCCCCTTAATGGGTTAATTGATATAATAAAACTTTAAACGCGTTTTTCTCGAAAAGCTAATTTTGGTCAATAGCACCGTTTTCTCAGATCCGGTCACATATTATCATATTTTAACAACTTTGCAGCAATTTTCATTTCTGGCAATTGGCATACAGCTTTTTAAAGACATTAAAAACATGAAAGTAAAGTTGCCAGAAATGCACCTTATCAGTGCAATTTTATCAATTTTCTTGCGGCTTTATCTACTTCTGGCAATAATTTCATGTGAATTCTACTGTTAACAAAGCGCCTTCTGGCGGCAAGGTTATGTGCTATCTATTAAAAGGGAAGGATTTTATACAAAAAATTTTCTTGCACCTTATCGTTGCTAATTTTCGTAGCCGCTATTATTCTATCGTCTCATACTTTATAATTAATTCAGTTACATTAAAGGAAAGCTGTAAAATTTTTACCAATGTTTTTTAAATAGTTAATGTTTAAAGTAAAACTGTGTATAATAATTATATTTTCTGGTTTGTTTTAAAATTTCAGGGATGAAACCAAGAATTAAAAATCATTATCGTGCGCATCAATTATCGGTTTGGCTACGGTTGATACCTGAACTTCACCGAGCTGGAATGGAAGATGTGGAGCCAAGACATAATTTATTCAAAGGATACACAGATCAAAATATGTACGATGGTTTAGTGCGACCCGATCCATTACGTAGATTGGATGACGAATTTTCAAAAAGAAATATAACAACAGATGTATCAACTGCAATGGACTTCAGTGTTACAACTTGTGTTGGTTTGATACAGAGTACCAAACTTCAAAATATTAATAATTCATCTACCGACACACTTGCGAGTTTAGATGCAGCGGGGTAAATATGAAATAAATATTTAATATCAAAAGATAAGATCACTACTGGTCAATTATTTCAATTATTTATAATGATAACGGTTAGTCCATTATCTTTCGACTAAGTCGGTCGCAAAATTAACATTTCTGCATGTTTTAATTATTGATTAAAATATGGTAAAATTAAATTTAATTAAGTCAACCATATTAAAAAAACTATAAATTATCATTTCAGATTAATAAAAACAATTTGATTAATAAAATTATTATTGTAATGACTCGAGATTTACCCTCTAGACGACAGTACGGACGAAAACTAGAGTAGTGCACGCGAGGTCGATTATTAAGCGTAATCGGGGAGAATCTAGATATCGGATTCGGTTTCCAATATTTTTGCCTGACGCGAAGCTAGTGCAAAAATAATGTTTACTAGGTGTCGCCTCCACCCGAGAAGCAACTCGAGATAGGGAATCGATCTAGTGCATCGTCTTTGTCGAGAGAGAAGCACCTCTACTCGGCAAGGACGATCCTGGTAAATGTGTGTATATACTGTGAACGTATTTTCTGGTTCATCAGTCTTCCACGGAAGCACCCATGGGAAGTCTGGTTTACCAGGTGAAATAAGGAAATATCCTGGTATCTCACAGAAGCACCCATAGAGAGACTTGGAGTATTCTTTGGCGAGGAAGTTGGAAATAGGGCAAGCCGGTGGTCGCAGAAGCATATACAGGCCACTAGCTGCCAAGAAAAAGAAATGAAATTAGGGTAGGAGAGCTGGCAGCGAGAGAGCTGACTATATATATATTTTTTTTTTTAATTCATAACTCGAAAATTTGAGCATTTATAAAAAAATTCGTAAACCTTTTTTTCTACAAACAATAAGAAAAAAATATATTTAGACGAATTTAAATGGTCATATGTTACTTGGGTGTTTTCGGGGTCGTATAACACAAATATATCAGATATTCTGTTCGCGGTCTTATTCGAATGAACTAAACTTTGCCTACAACACCTTACGGATGGAAAGAGAACTTTCATTTATGACGTACAATATTTTAAAAATGAAACAGGACTATAAAAGTATCAATGAAAAGCTCTTTTGACTCAAGTAGGAGCTTTATATGTTTCCGGGGTCGTTGAACGCGAATCTGAAGTCCATTTTTTTTATCACATCAGGATATTTTTCTCACCTCAAATAACAGAACAGATTTTAGGAAACAAATAAAATTTTATACTTAAATATTTACAGATTTTCGTCAATTTTAGTAACTGAGTATTTTTAGAGTTTATGGTTTTTTGTCAATATTTAAAATATATAGTTTTATATATAAATTATTACTATACTACATACAGACTATTACATACCTATATTCAGTCTCCTACGTCCACATAGTTGTTTCTGGGTATAACAGAATGTAAGTAATTGTTAAATAAAGGACATCACTAGCTTCTGTTGAATATTATTTTCGAAATTAACTACCCCAAAAATCCCCGAGTTCTGAGTTTTTAGCAAATATAATCAAATTAAAAAAACACATCCATATTGTATCCAACATTTTTAATTTTGAAATGTGACTTCATATTCGAAATCAACGACCCCAAAAAACCCCTCAGTAGAGAATTTCAAGCAAATATTTGACTTCAGATTCGAAATCAGCAACCCCGAAAACTCCCGAGTAACAAGTTTCAAGCAAAATTCAGGAAAAGAAGTAGTAGCAAAGCTCCTACATCTAGGGTTTCGTGGTTTCTTAAATAAAAGTTATTTGTATGTAATAAATAATTCACAATTGCATTATTATTTGTGAATTGTTACGGTTCCTATGGTAATGGTTATCATGAAAACGGTTGCCATGGTAACGGTTTGTATGGAAAAGATTGCTGTGGAAACAGTTGCTATGAAAATGGTTGCCATGGAAACGGTTACTATAGAAACAATACGAATGTACGACGGATTGATGAATGGATGGACAGTTGCTACAGTATTTGTTACCATAGCAACCAATCGATCGACGGACGGATAATGAGCAATTTTGAAAAACAGTTTTTTACCAATATTACACCTTTTGTTTCAATAATTATAATTTGTTATTCAACATTTTTTTACACGAAGTAGTGTAAATTTATAGGACTTATGTCTTATTTTGTAGGTATAAAGGCCCCATAGTTTGCTCTCGATTTCAGGTTGCAGAAATTGTTTTAAACAATGGTTAAAGTTGGTGAAAGCTGGTTTTTGCGTGCTCGTTGCTTTCCTCTACATTTTAGAGGAAATAATTGTGATTAGAAAAAAAGGTATTGAAAATACCTACAAAATGGTGGTCGAAAGTTAAAATCTGATTATTTGTTTAAAAGTTATTGAATTTAAACCATTGAAAATGGCACTTTTTAAATTGTTTAATAATTTTGTTAATAATAATCCGATTTTAATGAAATTTTATGAAAATGTACCCCTTGCGATACTAAGCAAAAAGAAAAAAAATCGAACTCTTATCGAATGAATAGTTTATAAATTATTCCATTTGTTAACTAAAAATATGTTGTTTATCAACCTAATTTCTAAAGTACGATATGGAGCGAATTCAATTTTTTTTTATTTTACTCTTGAAGAGTGATACTGTCATGTACATAAAAGAAAGAATTGAATTTCATTAATTAATTGCATAATTATAGTTAAAAAAAATATTACGTTTTTTAGTTATAAACAATTGCAATTACTTGGCCAGTTTTTCCTCTATCGGATTCTAATTAAGGCCATTGCATTTCTTTTTTCTTTACAAAAGTTTTTTAAAAAAGGAAAAACAGTCTAGCTCATAGCGCCGGTAACCGCTTGCCACAAAATTGAATTCGCCCGTTCAAATTTACAAAAGTTGTTGTTATTGTTTTGTTTCTTGTTGTAGTTTATTAATAAAAATTGTTTAAATATTGTTTAAAAAAATTTTTTATTAAAAATCTAGGGTCATTTTTAAAAAGAGAAGAAAAAATAACATAAAATCAAAAAAAAAAAGATTGAAATCGGTTAATAATTAACCGACTTACAACTTTTGTAAAATTGAACGGGCGAATTCAATTTTGTGGCAAGAGGTTACCGGCGCTCCGAGTTCCCCCACTCCTCCGTTTGGAGCAAGGTAAAATGATGAGCTCTCTTTGACCGTCATTATAAATCAGAAAAATTGTTTTTTCAATGTTTATAATTTTTTATCTAACAGTACACGTATTGTATTGTACATTCATGTATTGTAAATTTGGATAAAAAATATTAATAATTATAGTGTTATGAATTTTTTGAATATTTTTTTTACCCATAATTATAAAATTGTGTCGCGACGCGAAGAAAGGGACCTAAGCGTCGAAACGGCAGTTTCACGCAGGAGAGAGAAAATATTAGGCAAGAACGTGGCGAAGAGTTTCCGATATCTCTTATTCTCTCTTGCTTCCCACTACTATTTCTAGTTTGCGTCTATGTGTTCGGGCGTCTTCGGCAAGTAAAGAGAGATGCAGCGAATGTATAAAGTTGTTTCTACAATAAGCACGTCGGACGTGTACGTGAACGTGTATCTTATGAGAGAGAGGAGTATAGATGTATATCTCCGTACCCCTCTTTCTTATTATGTACACGTTCGCATCGACGTCCGACGCGCTTATTGTAGAACCAACGGAGAACGGTGTAGTCAGCGCATCTCTCTCTAAATCACGAATATCGACATGTTTTTAATTAACAAATGGAATAATTTATAAACTATTCATTCGATCAGAGTTCGATTTTTTTTCTTTTTGCTTAGTATTGCAAGGGGTACATTTTCATAAAATTTCATTACAATCGAATTATTATTAAAGTTATTAAACAATTTAAAAAGTGCCATTTTTAATGGTTTAAATTCAATAACTTTTAAACAAACAATCCGATTTTAACTTTCGACCCCCCATTTTGTAGGTATTTTCAATATCTTTTTTTTCTCATTACAACTATTTCCTCTAAAATGTAGAGGAAAGCAACGAGCACGCAAAAACCACCTTTCACCAACTTTAACCATTATTTATAACAATTTCTGCAACCGGAAATCGAGAGCAAACTATGGGGCCTTTATATCCCCCCCAAACTACCAAAATCCGTTTAGAACTGCCTGTCTTTATTTAATGGCACTTTTGCCTTTATTGACTGGCATATAGGACTTATTAAAAGTTATTTAAACATTCAGTATCTCTAAAATTAGCGTTAAAAAAATTCGTAAATTATTTTTAATTAAAAAAACTGTTCATAATTATGACATATCCTCAGTGGCAGATTCCACGACCGAGTGATTATTCAACGACCAACATTATTTTATTATCATAAAAAGATACTTAAGAGCTCCTTAGGACTTATTAAAAAATTATTTTAACAATCTGTATATGAGAGATTCTTTTTCAATCGCCCCAGCCCAAAAAGTCAATGTTCTGGGATTGGCTTCATACTTTGGTAAATTGTTCTCCTATATGATAGTAATAAATCCCTAAAATATAAACTCATTAAAAAAATATTTGTAGAAAGTAGAGGGGGTTGAAGTTTTGACGTTAAGGGTAACATTGTCATTTTCAAATCCGTTTAACTATGACAAAAGTTAATGGATTTTAATTTATCTATAATGAATTTTATTGCATTTTTCACGTACTTTTCAAAAATGTATACGAAATTTAAAAAAAAAAAATTTTTAACCCCTTTTTTTTCAAAATCAACCCTTATTTTTCGATTTTCACCCCTTCGGGTATTTTTTTTTTTATTTTCATTGGAAAGCTGAGGTTTTTTCCCATGAGCTATGTAAATATGAAAATGGGACAACAATAATTTTGTGAGTAACAGAATATTAAAGTAGGCGGTGCCGATAAGGGGTGTACCTGGAGATCATCTTTGAGGATTTAGATAGGCACCGCCTAATTTAATATTATGTTTCTCACAAAATTATTGTTGTCCCATTTTCATATTTACATAGCTCATGGGAAAAAACCTCAGCTTTCCAATGAAAAAAAAAAAAAACAAAAAAAAATTCC